TATGTCCCTGTGGGAAGGTGGGTAAGAAGAGATAAACTTGTAAGGAAGGACAGGCTTACTCCTGAATACCAACTTCAAGAGCAAAGGCAGTAGAATTACAACTTAATAGCCTTTTTGTGTAATTTATCAGATTTTTTTACAGTCATTTTGTACAAATAATAATAACAAGAAGACATAGAATTGTAATTCACTGTTTCTTGCAGTGATGTAGTTGTGAATTATTACTAATAACAACAGTGATATGTTACTTTGCTAAATAAAGAAATACTTGGTTCTTAGAGGTGTTTTCTTTAATCAGCAAATCTTTAGTTACATCTAACACTGCTCAGGTTCACACTGTTCAAAGCTAAGCATCTCCAGAGCTGGCTTACCCAGCCACTGTGCTAGCATGAATATATTCATCATGTTCAAGGAACACGAACACTGCTCAAACAAAAGCAAGAGAAAACATGTAAGTAAGTGCCACCTATGTTTGTAAAGCTTGCATATTTGCCTAGTGTAAATACTTCTTATTTTTATGTATAGCAAGCATACAATGTGGGTGCCCCAACACAAAAATTTTTCTGCCCTCTTGCTTTCTCATCATTTTTTTTTTGTCTCCAAACAATATTATTTCTGTATTTACACATCCAGCCAAAAATAGACAACTTAAATACAGTTTCTTTCAGCCAAGCTCTTAAAAAACAAGAAATATAGATGCACTTTTCTTTAAACTTTTCCACACACCAATGATTTATTTGATGCTAATCTTGGCCACATTTGGGTAGCTGTCATTTCTGCGTGCCCATTCAAGTACCTCCACTTCAAGGGCTGGTACTCTAACAAAGAACAAAAGCAACCAGAGACAGACCTCAAAGTACAGTTCTGTGAGTACAGAAAGACCAGGAAATATAAGCCATTTCCTTACATACAGCTCAAAAAATAATTACGGAAATTATAATGAAAATATTGCAACTTGGAATCAAAGACTCCATACACCGACATCTTCTTTGATAACGTTTTGCACGTTGTAGTTGTGCATTAACCTCTGTGCTGACAAGCCCCATTCTCTTAACCCAAATTTCACCAAGGCGTGTTTTAGAAGTTTTAGGAGCTTGCTGAAGCACAGAACTAGGGCTGGGGGTGCTGACAGTGCATGCCTCTGCAGTGGGGCAATGAGCAGCACACTGGAGCAGCACATTCAGATGCTTCAAGTGAGGCTTCAGCCTGGAAGTCCCGAGGGAATTCCTGGCATGCCTGAGAGTCAGCCTCTGTGTCAGTGCCAGGGAGACCAGACCAGGCCACACCTCCAGTCCGAACCTCTGCTTTCACATTTGACCTTCAGCTGTTGATACGGACATTAATTTCAAATTCGGTTTATACAGTCCTGACTTCGAAACATTATTTTTTTGCTTCCTTCAAAAGAAAGAAGAAAAAAATAAAGTAGGAGTATGACAGAGTACTCCTGCTGCTGATCATCACCAGATAGAGAAGAACTTCATCAGATTCAAATGTGACAGCACAGTTGTCTTTGCTCAAACCAAACATTTTACTTCTTTAAGAGCTGGAAACATTTGTTGCCTGCTACCAAACTTGTTTCTCTAGAAATATGTATAAACAATCACTCAAAATAAGTATTGAGAATGCTGTCAGCGGAGAAGGCCTGGATTGCCCAGGAACAGGCTTGGTCTCTCCTCAGAGCTACAATGTCAAAGATGCAATCAGCCATCTGAAACCTACTGCTAACAGTTCCTCTAGTGCATGGGACAGTAAGACCACTGTGAAGACCTTAATTGTCCAGGGAAAGGGAGAGATAACTGGCACAGAGAGGAAGGAAAAGATGTGGGTGTGGATCCTCTCTCCAACTGTTCTGAGAATTATTTCACTAAGAACTAATTCTTTCTTTCATATTTGAATGAGAGCCAGAACCTTCTCCAGACTGGATGCATGGCAACTAGAATAATTTTTAGTGTGTGACCTCAAAATCTTGAGGTCACGCAGTAAAATGAATGTTTACACTTCCCACCAAAAGTAGGGGGAGCCATGTATTTACATATCCTTCAATGAAAAAACTCTGGAGGAGGCAACTGGTCCCAGGAAGAACACAGATACTTCCCACCAGCTGTATGAAGAGAGCTGGTCTCCTAATTACTGCCTGGTCTCCTAACTAAACTACTGCCTATGGAGTCTTCCCAATGCAATGTGAAGAGCTGTACTTGTGGTAATCAATTATTTATTATAAACTGGTGTGAAGCTTCACATGCCCTCTGCCTCTCATGCAGTGTATCAAGAAAACTGGGAAGCAGGTTGCCAAGAAAGCAAGCAGCTTGCTTTAGCTCTTGAATCCTGATGGGCATGGGAATGTCAACAAAGAAGTACCCAAAAGCACTACTGCTCCCAGGGACTGAGATGCCTTTGCTTGTTGTCTGGGGTGAGGAAAGGAAGGACACGAATTTTAAGTCTCCAATGCTGAGAAGACCCCAACAGACAGAAACTTGCCTCCTCAAGGGTGTATCATCAAGTATGTTGGAACCAGAGATGGGAAATATGAATTCTGTATCTCTCAGAAAGGAAGCTATAAAAGACTTTCCTCTTATGGACTTGCTTGTGACTCTTGATTATATGAACCTCCTGGCATGCAGCCTTGATTTGAAGGCTGCATAGTTTCATTTCAAAGTGAAACTTCACAGCTCCACAAGTTCACTTTATTTGAGGTACTATTTACTGTCCCCCTTTACATTATAAAGTTCTCTTGTTGCCATCTGGAGACACTGCCTTGGAACAATGGCAGAAGCCAGATATGATACAGTGTGAACTTATCCATCACATTTCCATAATACCATTTCTAATTTTGTGGCTTTCATCCAAACACATATTTACCCAGAAAACCAGATGAAATCCAGAAAGTGCAGCTGTGATATAGTAGGCATTAAAGAAAAAAAAAAAAAAAAAAGAAAAAGGTCTTTAAGAGGCCAGGCAAAGAGAAATGCTTAAAAGCTGCCTACATATAAAGCACAGATATTTGAATAACTCTCCAGTGTTCTTGTCTAGTTGTCCAACATGAGTTTGTTTACAAACAGCACACTTTGAAGCAAGCAGCGTATGTTGTGACTCAGTTTTCTGTCAAGAAGTCTGAGAATGGAAGCCTCATCAAGGTAATGAAGTTGAATTCAGCATATTTTTCCTTCTTTTTCGTCACAAGGTGATTATACGTTATGCTACAAAAGAGGAATGTAAGATAGAAGAACCCAGTTAAAACACTTTAAAATGCTAAAAAATTTTTAAAAGTCACTTCTATAGAAAAATATAGCACTCCTGCTTATTTTTGAAGATTCTGTAATGCCATGGGAAAGGGAATCCTAAAAGGCTGCCCCAGGTCTCTGCATGAAAGTGCTCAGCTTTCAGGAGCTAATGAAGGAGGGATAAGATGCAAAAGGCTTTTTCTGGAACAAAACTGCATCCAGAAAAAGAAGAAAAACATAATCTGGCACTTGTCTATTTGAACCTGCCTAAAGAAATTACAAACTTTGCCTTAGTCATCAACTAAGGCTTGAATATATGGTAGCAGGAGGCAGGTGATACTGTAGGAAAATGAAGCTCTTTGAAGAGTGCGCGACGGTTAAAAATGTCTCTTACATCTCACAAAGGGACTGATATTAAGCAGCCATAAAGTGATACCTACAGCCCACAATGTTTGCAAAAACAGAATAAAAGTGTTGCTCTGTTTTACCAAGGCCAGAATTGGGTTTGCCTGCAGAAAAAAAATACCCCACAGGTATGAACCTAGTAAGATTTTGAAGATGGAAATGTATTAATAAAGCTAAGCAAAGATACCTACATTAATTATTACTATTAGTTAATGCAAGCCCATTGGCCTCCTTGATTATAATGAGAACTCAGACACCTCCTGAATATGTAGATGCCTAAATTTAGGTGACTTCATGTCACCTCGCTCTTTGTTCAAATAGGATTTTTTAGCTAAATCTGAGAGAAAGGTAAAGGATGCAGCAGTAGCTAGAGTAAAATCTGTATTGATAAGTTAAAATTTGGCATCCTGTTAAACTTGATCCCGTCTTTGTAAAGCCATACTTTTAGAGATGCTATTATCTTTTCTTATGAGACAGCAGACTCTCATCTAACATTCAATATGACATTCCTCATCTAAAAGGATGGTGGTCTTAAGCTAAGAGTGCTGGGACATCTTAACATGAGTCCTTGTTCTCAATACCCCACCCCTAGAAATTAAATGCATCTCCACAAAAGCTACTTAAGTCATTTCAAATACAGTATTACAGAAGTCAGAAGTGTTTTCTAGTTATCAGCAATGAAAAAAGTCCTTTGACTTAATTCTGTGATTTTATTGTGACTTGCCAAAGTAGACGTAATCACTTGTTAGGGACACTGAAAAGCACAGATTGTTTCTCTTTTAATTTTGAATTTTTATTCTAATATTTTATTTATGCAAACCACTGTGCATTTTGTATTTGATCTGCCCAAGGCTTATGCAAGGTGCAAGCTAGTGGACAGTGTTATTTTGATATGTGCAGTTACACTGGAATATTTTCCATAAAGGAATGAAGTCAAAGACACTATCAACCCTTAATCTGAATTTAGCTTTTGTGCAATATCTTATATTACTAGAATAAAACCTCCTTTCCCATCCCTAAGAACAGAAAGACATTTGTTCACATACTAGTAGCATAATAATGAAACACAGCATTCACTCATTAAAGTAGCAATTTCTATATTTAACTACTTCTGGTTTCCGAAGTCTAGTCATTTTCAGTTTTGGAAAGACATCCAAATAATGATATCATTTGCTTGAAACAATAGAAAGTCTGGATACTAGTCTATATATGGAGATTTTTTTTTAGTCTATTTATAAACCACGCCAGTTATTTGACCTGTCTAGTTTACTCACCTACGTAAATTGGCAGACTCAGGAAACTTAAGAACATATTATTCTTTTTGACTGGTAAACCTTAAAGGTTGCTAATCATACTTCAGATAGGCAACCAGTATTTCTGAGAAATACTCATCTGTGCCTATTACACTAAGAACAAACCAGCCAGCCAATGTAAGAAAGATTTTTTTACTTTTGAACCAGCAGCAGTGCAATTGCATTAGCTCTGCTCGTGGGGAGGGGACTGACAGAAACCAGCTGTACAGTTGTTTGCATGGCTGCAGCATCTGTACTTTCTTCAGTGCAGTGCAATAGTGCCAGGGCTTTCCAAAATGTGAGCATAACCACTGGGATTTTTTCCTGTTTCATGTCTTCTGTAATTACTTAAAAACGTTTGATTGTGTCTGAACTGCTTTTATCAATTGAATTTGTTAACTTTGTTTTCCCCTGATAACTGTTTACAGACGTTGTTCTGTTTACAGTCATGGTTCAGACATGGTTCAGACATGCTGATCTGGTTCTGAAGTGAATACTTAAGAGATTCTGGGAGTTCTTTTTTCACTTGGGAGGGATGAAGTTGGCAATGGTTTTCAATGGCCTTTTAAAATCTTCTTGTGCCTGCAGAATCAGATATAATAAAGAATGAAAGCTGAATTTAAATTCTTCCTGCAGAATTATATAAATTGCAATTAGAAATATCTACCATGAAGTGGAATTACGGAACTATCCCTGACAGCATGATTTGGAAGGAATGGATTTGCACAGGTTTATCAGTGATGGCACAGATTGGCTGACACTGCATTTATCATACATGCTGATGGGTAAGTCCACTCCAGTTTAACATTTACAGCCCTGGCTCAATTTTCAGGGTTGGCTGTTAGACAAATGACTGTAGTGGAAATATTAAATGTGGAAATTTGCTATGCAATTTTTCAGAACTGCTTCTTGGGACTGGACTGGTATTTCCTTAAAAGTAAGAAGAATGGGCAAGAGATTTGCAAACTGGAAAAAGAACTGCATTTGATGATGGAAGTGTTTACTGCTAACTGCTTGGTCAGATGCTTCACCCACCATTTCCTTTCTATTTCAGTCAAGAAAAAGCCCATGAGAACTAGCTTTCTTATTGACCCATTTTACTTTCCACTTTTTATTGCGAAACTTAACCTCCTCCCTGAGCTTTACTGCCTCTGCTCCAAGGTGATCAGTGCTGCCCCTGGTAAAAGCCTTGGGTACAGGTTTAGCAAATAAAGAAGCCACAGAAGAGGATATGACATATCAGGACTATATGCAGACATCTGTGAAAGTTTTTCTATTTGCAGTCAGGTTAAGGAAGGTAATCTAACAGAAGAATGCATTCAGAAAGACCAATGTGCCTCTTGTGGATATAAAAACTGGTAGTCAACTATCACTGATAATCTCTTTTCTCATCTATTTACTTTTGAGTAGCAAAATATCTTAAAACATTTGCTCAGAAAACTCACATGATATCTCCCTTTCTTCTGTCAAACTCTTTTAGTTATGTTCCTAGTTAGGGGTCAAAATCTATATCTCAATATAATGTGTTTGTATCTGTATATCACAAAATCAGAAATCTGGAATGGCTGAATTGTTACTCTGCATCATAAAAAAATAAATGACAGCTTATTCTTTGGATATTTCTTCATCCTGCGTATCTGTTTCCACATTATTTTAATGGGAATAGTGGGAAGGTTTGTTTGTTTTATTGGTTTTGTTTGGTTTTTGTTTTTTTGAAGGGGGGAACAGGGGAGGTTTCACTTCCTTCAAAATATCCCCTTGACTATACAAGAACATTACCACAGCTATACTGTGAAATATTGGCTCAGGATATGGTAATATGGAAATTACATTTATTTACTCAATGAAAAAAAGGGTTCATCTTTCCCATATTACCACTCACTTGTGACTTAAAGCATGCTCTGGTTCAGTTTGGCAGCTGAGCTGATTTCTGCAATGTTGCAGAACTGGGTCAAATGCACTTTCCCAGAGTTTGATGAGTCACTGGTTCAGCATGGTCTAGGACCCAGATCTTCCTGCCTTCCGGTGCACTTCCCTAACCAAGAGACAAACACTGTCTGCATTGCTGCAATAAGCCTTGTCGCTCAGCCTCCACACCAAAAATCCTCTTATCACAGTACAAACAACTAGCATACTGAGATTATAAACAACCAAATATCGAGATTTAAGCTGACTTAAGGGATGTCATTTGGCTTCTCTTTCACATCCTTTTTCAAGACATGCATGCTATTTTGCAAACAGATCTACAAAACTCAGAAATGCTCATGTCTTGGCAGTAAAGAGTACAAAATAGACAAGAAAAAAGTAACACATTTATAGCTTACTGAATGCAGTGATATCATCTTGACTCATGATATGAGCTTGATTCTTAGAAGAGGTGGAACAAATCCCAGAGTGTTCATCAAGTTCAAAGGTCTTAGAAATGGTAATTGATGCTTTATACAGAACATGTTTCTGTATGGGGTGTACGCACCACCTAACCCAGGAAGAATAGCCTTGAGTTTGAAATCCAGAGGCAACCAGAAGACTGGATGTATGTATACAGCTTTGCTATAAGCAGCTTTCTGTGAAACTCCTCATAGGTGATGCCAGCTCAACATAATGGATTTAAAAAAAAATCTTTATCACCAATGGTGTGGAAATAACCTGGGGCTGCAATGTTCATGTTCAACAGAACAACAACAACAACAATGAATCCAAGCTCTGTGTCCTTGCTTGCCTCCTTGAAACTTCATAGATTGTATCTCATGCCTCTGTCCATAACAGATCTTCACATTAAAGACCAGTAATGAGACTGCTGGTCTCTTGAGTAGGTACCGTCTTATTATGGCACTGGTCTGGCCTCTCTACTGAAACAAAAAAACCCAGTGACTTTCCTCTGACATCAGATGCAAGACCCTGCTAAACTTCAAAGCAAGAAGAGGAAAACAGTTCTCCCCATGCAGATTGAGGAATCAAGCCTCTAGTGAATCATTACTATACGTACGGCTCAACCACCATGAAGACTGTTCTCCAGGGACCCTTTGCTGTACCACAAAAACCACAGCTTCATTTTCAGGCATCAGAAGGTAAAGAAAAATCACATATTTGTCTTGTCTTTCTTTTCTGTGATCATGGAAAAGTCAATATCTACACTATATTTTGTGACCAGAATAGATCTCAAATGCATTAAGCTTCTAGAAGGACTCTACCACCTATCCCCTCCTGGAAGAATCAATCTCTCACCATTTACATTTATAAACTCAATGCTTCACCTGCTGAAAGCCTGGTAAAACAGTTTCATTGCTACCTCTTCACTAGATCCTTCCTTCTGTTCTATTTTTCCAATGTCTAAGAAATTATTCCAGTTGATTTTTGAAAGACAGGTCTTCTTCATGAAATGGCAACAGTAGTGACACATGCTGGATCAGTAATGAGGTTCTGAGTCTGGTCACACTTTGTCAGCAACATCTGTTGTTCACAGAGATGAATCTCACCAAGCACTTGAGGGGCTAAGTTCTGTTTGGTACCTGCAAGTTGCATAACTAGAACTTCATTTCTCCATCTAACAAGCTGAGCAATAGTCCACAGAAAATTCCCATTCTCTGTTTATACTACTTAATTTGTAGTCTCTTCCCTTTTGTATCTTGAAAGGTAAGGAGAGTTTTTCTCTAGTCATCAGATCCTGGGATCTGTTTTACTGAATTGGAAAGCTGATAAAACCAGTCTTGGGGGCATTTACTCCAAACCCTCCAAACCTCATCCACTCTATTTCCTTAGTGTGTACTTACGCACATACAAGTGTAAATAATTTTTCAGCTGTGAAATATAATAGCTTTTCTTCTGGTTTCTTGTCTTTACTCTTCTGTTTTTCCTGATGAATTGGGTTCCACTCAGCCAAAAGCTTCTCAGGAGATCCCAGATAAGTTGCTAACTTGGTTTCAGTTTTATTGATGCTGCTCAAGTACAATCTTTTAGCAGAGTTGAACCATTTCTCTACAGTTCTCAGGGTGTTACACCATTCACACAACGTCCACTAACAAACATTTATTCTGCCATTCTGACAATTGAAGCATAATATAATATTTCAGTTTCCCTAGACTTTTGTGACTGCTGCCCATTACCTTCCTTAAGCATTCACATGCTCTTTCCTTCCCTCTGTACAACACTTAGGTCACCAGATCATTTGGTTAACTCCCTAAAGTAGGCTACAGTCACACTAACATTACATCTTATTTCGTGGCATTAGTGATTCCTGCTGCCCACTGCTACACAGAACACTGGCTTTAGTATCTTAGGAGACTGCTTGTTCCTGTTGGTGCTCCTGTGCTTCTTTATTACACACAAGCCAGATTTTGAGTCTAGGTCACCACTGATGCAGCAAGGCAAGATACTAAAAATACGGGCATGACAAAAGGGTCTTTGAAGATCTTAATATGGTAGTAATTAAGACCCTGTATGGATTTCTCTTCTCCTATTTACGAGAAAGATAAAGGGTATCTATAGTAACACATTTCTCAGAAATTCTTGTGACATTTCAATGCCTTGCTTTTTCTTATTCATCCCCAAAAAATCTCCCACTGCAAATAGCCAGTTGGCCTCAACTCTGTTGTGCCACTAAATCCAACTGTATCCCTTAATCATGGAAACCCAGCCTCTTCTTGCTTACTGAAGAACTTCCTTACCATCATAAAGTGTGATGTTCTTGCCTGTGAATTCCTGCAACAATGTGAATTAAGATCCCAAGGCAAGTAAGTTTTTTCTGCTTCTGCTGTTTTATTTTATTATATTTAGGTAAGTAAGAAAACATGATTTCTTGTGTTTTCCTCATTAAGCCACATCAATAATACAAAAATCATGTAAAAAGCTACTCTTAAAATCTCACAATAACAAACCCCTCAACCTCCACACGAATATACTTCTTTAACTCTTACAGTCCCAAAGCCCAGTATGCTTTTCTTTGTAAAAAACCACAACAAATGTAACTATTAGACTGTGGTAACAGTCTAACTCTCCAGTCATCTCTTTCTAGCAACAAGGGACCTAGATGAAACATGACTGAAGACAACAGTTTATGCTAAACGCTTAAAGAGGATACATTACACAAACAATTATTTGTTTTTGTATTTTGACTAAGCATACAAGTTATTAGCCACCACCGTTCCATATATCTTTTTTTAACTATTCTATTCTTTCAGGAAGAGAGCAGTGTACACAGAGACACAGCATACTTTGATGTGTCTATTTTTCTGGTAATAGGTGGCATAGCTGGCAAAAGTGAGGTTAACTTCTCACTTCCCCCACTCCTCACCACCCCCCATCCTAGGAACACAGTAGGAAAAACGGAATTGTTCTTCTGAATTGCACATCCGTCAGCCTCCTCCTGGGAAGAGACAGCTATTTCTTATCTTGGCTGTTTTACATCACTGAAATGTGAAGGCAGAATTTGAAGGAAGGAAGTCATAGAAAAGAGAGACCTCCAGGTTTCAGAGCACTGGAGGGAACTACCAGAAAAAGGGTGGGATGGTTGGTGGTGGTGGGGTTGAGAATGCTGTAGGTAATGAAGAGCTACAGAACCTCCCATTTTAAAGAAAATATTTTTGATCTGCTATCCTTTACCCTTTTGAAAAGACATTTAAAGAAATACCTTTACATTATTCCAGTCTGCCAACTTCTTATCCTCTGAGATTCTAAAGGAAAGATGGCTCTCTCTAATGTTATTCATGCCTCAAATATAGACAGAAAAACATCCTTTTTGCGCTATTCTGGGACACATTGCCCCTGAAAGTAGGGATTTACAGCTAAATCTAGTATAAACAATGTCATTTGGTAATCAAGAAATGGCAGCAGGGTTAATTTAGTCTTCCTTCGGGACCATAAATGAACACATGGATTCACTGAAAAGACACAAAGAAATGTTAATCATCTCATTTAGAAGAAGATCTGTTTAAAGGACACAGACTTGAAATGCATTGGGGCAAATTTCAAAAGATCAGGAGTTAAAGATAAGCATCCAAAATGCAGAGTACTTATCTGAAACTTATTGAGACTATTTGATGCTCTGTGAAACAGTACCAGAAATCCTGTACTGGCAGGCCATCTGCAGTAATTTCATAACTTGCTTTCAGGCTAGAAACTCGATCTGTTTGGTGGTAATTCCTCACCCCTAGATCTTGTGTAAAGCTGAGAGCATAGCATAAGAACTCAAAACCCAGTAACTTTAGAATCTCCTATCATGGAAATGCTAACCAGGCATGTCAGAACTCAAAACTGCTCATGCAACAACAGGAGCTGGGACAAAATCAATCACTTTCTCCAAAGAAAGCAGATTATCTGAAAAGCAGCTCTTTCTCAAGGACTTCTATGGACAAGAAATCTTCTCCATAGCCTAGAAGAGAAACATCATCTCTTAGCATATGCTAGTGATGAAAGGGAACAATGGACAAGCTTTATCAGGTTTAATTGAACATTTATTTCCTAGCATTTTGGACCTTTCTGTTAAAACCCATTAAGTTAAAGAGTGTAGAAAATGGTATGCCAAAACATATTTGCAAAGAATTGGGTAGGTAGGTTT